TTTTAAGCTTCAAAGATTAGTTTTCCTCTCTGGGACAATCTTAGTAAAAAATAATAAACAACTTAGTTGTAAATAAATATTTTTCCCAATAATATCCAAACAATTCAAATTACCTACAAATTTGAGGAACGTGTGGTATTCACAAAATCTTAAGTGTTAGGTTGTTTCCATAACCTTGCAGTTAAATACTTAGTAGCAGTCATGAAGTTAAGACAATATGTAACTAAGTACTTTTTTCCACTATCACTTGAAGGGCTGGGGCTTGACTTATTTATGCCTTTTATCTACTGCCCAACCATAAAACTCTGCATTTGGGTTGGTAACTAACTACTCTTACCCAATAGAAAACCTCTGAAATGTAATGTGTTGTGGCTGCAGCAAAAATTTGTGAAATCTTCGTATTTATGTTTATGTCTCATTGATTAGCTGCTGTTTTATCTGGGCATAAACTTATCATTGGCATTCTTAGGTCATTTTGCTTTTCATGTGGCTATGTCATTTACTAATAGATAATAGATTTTCTACAGAGTCCACATGTTAAAGAATGGATGTCTGATAAATATGAAATAGGTACTCTGAAAGAAACATGCTCCCCTAATTTTACAGATGACAAAGGTAGATTCTTCTGACTTATTTTACCTCTGGTCAGCTCTTGGAAGAAACTAAAGCTCTATTTGTATTGTCAGCCAAAGGTGAATTTATCATATGCTTGTTAGGTAATTTTTTTTTTTTTTTTTTTGAGTAATAGTTGTGTCTGAAGATGGCTTCTAACTTTGAGAGCTACAAATTTAAACTCAGTACTGGTTAGTGATAATTGTTAGGGTCAGGAGAAGTAAAAATAGTATGGCTAGTGAGTAAGCTTTATGTGTTTAATCTCTTTAACCTTCACCAATTCAAACTGACACATATAAGAAATTGTGTATTTTAGGAATACTGCATGTCTGAGTATTTAAGAATGAGTGGTATCTATTGGGGTCTGACAGTAATGGATCTCATGGGACAACTTCATCGCATGAATAGAGAAGAAATTCTGACATTTATTAAGTCATGCCAACATGAGTGTGGCGGAATAAGCGCTAGTATCGGACATGATCCTCATCTTTTATACACTCTTAGTGCTGTCCAGGTAAAAACTAATTAAAATTTAACAGTCTTGATGGTTTATCCTCTTATTTGAGAATTGGGAATTGAACCTGTGTATTAGGAAGGTGACAAAATTAGTATCTTAAGACAAAATTTCATTACAAGTGAAATGGTCCTACAAGGTCAGTGATGTAATGGCATGTATTAGCTGAATGCAAACTTGATGTGAGTTCCAATATTACACTGAGACCTTGGAGGGTAAAATTTATATTTTCAGTATATATAACTATTTGACAATCACTAAATGGAGTTATTTAGTTTTGATATTGATTAAG